CATAAATAATGACCAAGATGCTAAAATATATTAAGCATTTTTGAGTTTCACACTTTGCATCAGCTTCATCAAAGAATCCCTCTTGGACTGTGCATTATTATTCTGGATGCAATTAATTAAACGATTAATCTGGAAGGACAAAAGTCATTTTGTTGAATTTTTTTTTACCTCCTTTCATGTTTTCTTTGAGACATTTCTCTGAGAGCTATTCCAGATCTCATCATGGACCTTATGGTCTGTGTTAGATAATGACAGTGAAGATGAAGTATTGAGGACCCTCAGTCTCCAGAGCTCTAGACGACTCACTCCCACCTCCCTCTCGCTATAAAACGATTGGTCGCTTTGTTAATTGTGGATTAATTGTGGAGGTCGCTGATGGGTGGGGAATTGAATTTTTGTTTCCTTTGAGGCCACAAAAACTAGATCACTAAGATGAGGACAGTATCATTAAAAGTAAACTGTTGCTATGGTAATAAAGGCTGATTGCAAAATCTACATTATACCAATAGTGTTGTTATCTAATAAACTGCCAATTAATAGCCACTGGGGAATTTTTACATTTTTGTTAGATGAAGCTATTTTAGAGGTAGAATCAGAAAATTCAACTCAATTAATATGTTCATCTTGACTAAACCATGAAACAATCGATTAAACATTTGCATTTATTGGTAGTTAGAACGACTTTTTTGTACTTCAGTTATTCATAATTAATATGCAATGCACTGTGAAGGTTTTTAAAATGTTTTATTTTTTAATCAGTTGTGCATTTTAAAAAAACTGACTTGCACCAAAAAAAGGACACAAAGTTGTTTTCTGAAGAAACATAACCCATCCATCCATTCATCCGTTTTCATCCGCTTATCCGGGGTCGGGTCGTGGGGCCAGCAGCCTGAGCAGAGAGGTCAAAGCTTGGGCCAGCTCCTCCGGGGGAATCCCAAGGTGCTCCCTCGCAATCCGAGAGACATAGTCTCTCCAGCGTGTCCTGGGTCTTCTTTTAGGCCTTCTCCCAGTTGGATGTGCCGGGAAAACCTCATCAGGAGCAGCGGCGCCTCCAGAAAATTTTGATAGGCGTGGCCAGATGGGGCCAAAGAAACTTTTGGGGTGGCACACCAAAATGATTCTTGTGATAACGCTGGGAAAGTTTCAGCCCGTGGCGATGTACTGCACTGCACCTTTATTCGTTTTTATTAAAATAATAGTAGGAATCCAAAACATTTAACTTAAATTTTACAAACACAAACATTTCAGAAATTTACTTTTCAGTTATTTAAAATGTTATCCATGTATTTTTTGGGTTAATTCACCTGTTGCGGTGTTAAAAAAAACTATGGAGATTAAAACCTTTTTATAATGGTGAGCAGCAGAAACACATATAGTTTTTTATTCTGATTATTTCTTTACTCATTAATTGTAACATTTTTATTTTGTTTTACAATTATGTCTTGAATAAACAAGATCAATGTATGGTTTGACTGAACATTAATATGATTTGTTAACACTGGTTTTTCCTGAGGGGGGGCAGCAATTTTATAGCGGCCACCCCTGGCCACCCCTTGAGGCGCCCTTGATCAGGAGGCATCCTAACTAAATGCCCGAGCCTTCTGGCTCAGCGCTCTCTTCACCACGACAGATCGGTTCAACGCTCACATCACTGCAGACGCAGCACCAATCCGCCTGCCGATCTCGCGTTCCATCTTTCCCTCACTTGTGAAAACCTCAAGACAAGTAAACTCCTCCTCTTCAGGCAGGGCCTTGCCCCTGACCTAGAGAAGGTGTTCCACCATTTTTGACTCAATGCCATGGTCTTAGATTAAGAGGAGCTGATTCTCATCCCAGCTGCTTCACACTCAGCTGTGAAACGCTCCAGAACCGGAGATCATGTTCTGATGAAGCCAACAGGACCACATCATCTGCAAAAAGCAAACTCAATCCTTAGCCCACTGTTATGACCAGAATAAGAATCAGAGCTTGGTCTGCACCCCCGGCAGTAAGTCGAGCTTCTTTCCTGTGAGAGTTGGACTCCGCCAAGGCTGAAAAATAGCCTAAACGCTATAAAAGAAATAAGCAAGACACCACTGCTGTGTTATTACAAACTGTCAAACTTTCCATTTGATTAATCAAATGTATCAGCTTCTGACCCACAACATACAAGTGACAAAGAGCTGAGCATTGTAGAATAAAACAGAATAGAACAGAACAGAATAGAATAATAGAATAGAATAGAATAGAATAGAATAGAATACTCCTTTATTTTCTCACGTTGGGGGTAATTTTGGCGCACCAGCAGCAATTAGACTCTGTTGTTCCGTAATGTTTTTTTTATTTACCGATATAGTCTAACTCATACGTATCAAAACAAAAGAGCTTAGCACCAGAAGATTCACGACGGCATGAGAAGATGAGTCACACACAGTAGGTTGATCAGCGTAAAACTAAAAGATGTTGTGGCTTCTTAGGGTAACAAGAAACAACTTTGGGATCACTCGTTTTACCGGCTAACATTCTTTACACAGCGCTGCTGCTTTTTGTTGACCAGGGTCTAATTACAAATGCTGACGCAGGCGTGTTTGCAGGTGTGGCTTGGCTCTGGAACCAGGAAGTATGGAGGCAGGATAGATTGTAAATAATGACTCAGTCTCTTTTTGGCCTTTTTAAAAGGAAAGAACCTAGTCGGCTGAGAATGAAATCTGTTTTAGTGTTTAATGTTCCTTCCAACAAACTGAGACATTAAATGGTTTATTATTATTTCACTGTAAAAGACTTACTTATCCTTGCTTATTTACTAAACTTTAAACATTACCTTTGCAAATTAAGACAACTACAATTTAAGTTTTCGCCAGTTGTGCCAAACAAACAAAAGTATCTCAGAAACTAAACACCAGATCTGTCATATTTTCACATTTGGAGTGAGAGGAGAATTAGCAGAAGAGTTTGATGTAAAATATGTGCATCGTAGGTTGTGTAAGAAACAGAGTAAAAAGTGATACAGATAATTTCTCATACTAAATTTAAATGCCAATATGGAATGATATTATAAAACATCCTTACCAAACATAAAATACAATTAAATTAATGAGCTAATATCAGAAAATGAAATCAAATCAAGCCTGTGGATGAAACACCTCTAGTGGTCTAATCAGAATGAGAGCTGTGCAATTTAACAGTTTCGTGTGTGTGTGTGTGTGTGTGTGTGTGTGTGTGTGTGTGTGTGTGTGTGTGTGTGTGTGTGTGTGTGTGTGTGTGTGTGTGTGTGTGTGTGTGTGTGTGTCCAAGAGCAAGATAAAACAAATAATTTCTGGAAATAAATACAGAGTCAAATGGAGAAAAACTATCCAACGCAGACTGAATGCAGACTCACGTAAAGTGAAGACAACAACGGTGATTGGGCAAAATAACAATAAAAGTATTGGGAGAAGGGGCGAGCCTGTTTACTGGGATTACTGGGACCGTAATACAGTCTCACTGCTGCTGGAAAAAAGGATATATTACTAAGCTGCAGCGGTCACTGAAGGAGCTCTATATTACAAATAAAGTGAACTTATTAAGTTTATCTTCAAATTTGGAGATCGTCACCAGACCCTAAACGTTGTGTCATGTGACCCAAACTGGGATCCTGACCTCAACTTTTGGCATTCAGTGCCTTAGCTGACCGAGGCCAGGAATGATCATTATTTATTTATTTATTTATTTATTTGTTTGTTTATTTATTTATTTAAGTCAGCTTTATTTGTATAGCACATTTCAAACATTGGGACAATTCAGTGTGCTCATTCATTCATTCATTCATGCATTCATTCATGCATTCATTCATGCGTTCATTCATTCATTCATACATTCATTCATTCATTCATTCATCTTGTGTATTCATTTAGGTGCTCTACCAAAAGGTTGACCAGAAGGCTAAGGTGTTCCATCATCTGAAGGCTAATATTTGTTTTGCAGCTTAATGTTTTTTAACCACCTTCCTTTTAAATACAATGATTAAAAATGTCTTCCTTCTTTTATTCACAGATGTAAAAAGGAAAACACAACTGAGAAGGTCCTTTCATGAGAAGTCATGGTTAGCTGCTTTTGGGGGGGGGTGGACGATGGTGCTGGACTTCTCTCCTGGTTGAACTTCCACATTCCTTCCCAGAGGCAGGTGGGTCCTGGTGCCAGCGTAAGCTGAAGTAACAGATGGTTGCTGGAGCAAGTCTGGCCTGTCCCCGTCTCTCCTCTCTCACAATAACCCCACTGCTGTTCTCATGGTAACACTATCTGCAAACTCTGAAGGATTGGATTTTTACAGGACACATGAGCTCAGCGCCGTACCATTGGTGGACACTCTCCTTCACCTTCATCCTTCTCTCCGTGTCTCTGTGGTTTTTTCCTCCCTTCTTCCTTCTTGTTGGCTAAGGATCCTTTGTCTGCTTTATCTGGCCCCTCCTCTCTCCTCAGCTCATCTGTCAGCAGCGGCTTGTTGAGTCAACAGTTCCTTCTCTTCCTCCTCCTGGTTTGGTTTCATCATCCAGAAATCCTGACTGTGACCGAGCTTTATCAGCTCACGTGTACAATCTAATCTCCCACATCTGCTGCTGCAGCCATTGTTCTCCCTTTAGCTCCACTGTATCTGTGGAGGGGTCGTTGTCTCATGTTCTTCTCATCACATGACTGATGCTCACCTTGAGGAGAGAGCGACAAACACTGTGGTGTAAGTGGCTCAACTCATGCTTGCAGAGAAGAGCACGCAGACCCATGCAAACGCTCTTATTAAAGGAAGTTTGATTTAAAACAGACCCAGCGTGGAGAAGAAGACAGCCAGCTGTTCCTTGGACAAACTAAGATCTCTGAAACAGTGGCCATCTGTGGCACAGTGATTGGAGAGAGAGAGAGGAGGAGGAGGACAAGGGGGTGGGGGGTAGGGTGTGTGTTTGTGTGTGTGTGTGTGTGTGTGGGGGGGGGGGGGGGATGACCTATTCTGAATTCAAAACATCTCCAAATCAAATGCAAGCCCACACGCATACGCTCACGACTTTGCCCAACCCCTGCTCCATCAGAGGAAATTCAAATCACCAGAGTTAAGAAGCCAAGCTGGCTTTCTGTGTGTCTTGCCATCCACAAGGTGAGCTCACCCCTCCTTTCTTCTCTTTTTTCCCCTCATTCTCCCTCTTTCTTCCTCCGGCGGCATTGTAAATGGAATGAGTCTGGTTGCATTGCTGTATTACGGTGGGATAAAGTATCAGTCCTGGTAATCTTCCGTGGATTAATGGCTTCTTCTTTATCTGCTGCGGCTGCTCCTCTCAGATGTCTGGCCGGGCCAGGAGCCTCCTGCTGGAATACTAATGACAGACAGACAGTTCCAGCTCTCCCTGCCCATGTCCCCGTCACCCAGCCTCAAACCCAGCCCACGGGACGCACGCGTGTGCACGTGTGTGTACAAAGAGAAAAGAGGAAAAATTTGGGCACGCATGTGTGAAGTGCATATGCATGTAGATGGAGAACAGCAGAGAGACAGAGAATAAATCAGCACATAGTGTGTGTGTGTGTGTGTGTGTGTGTGTGTGTGTGTGTTTCACCCTCAAGACCCTGTCTCCTTTTTCATTTTTTTTATTTTTCGTGAGGTAGTCGCTGTCCTCCTTGTCTTGGTTGACACCTGCTTTGCATACAGGAGGGGGCCAGAAGAGGGGGGACACGGTGTTGAAACGAGGGTCCCCCAGGATGTGTGAGGAGGAAGAGAGAGAAAGGAAGGACTAACACTCTATCAGCAGAAAAAAAAACCCACAGTCGTGAACCTAGAGGAGAAGAAATCTGAGAGGAACAACACGAAATAAGACCAGAGCTGTGTAATGTTCCTCATTTGTTCCTGTGAGTTAACACACCCACAGGCAGGTCTTTGGTAGATGACCTGCAGCGTGGTGTAGTTGTCTCCATTCCCATAGCAAGGTCACATTTGCCCCATGTGGTCTCTGAGCTAAGAATATCTAACAGGGCTTTCATGAAAAGGAAAATAACCAACAGTAAATGCCATCTGCTTCCTCAGTGAAAGAAGAAAAGAAAGAGGAGGAGGAAAGGAGGAGAAAGGGAGGGGGGTGAACCGAAGCACACCATGTCCCATCTACTGGCCAAGCTTGTGTGACGAGAAACACAGAGGAGAACAAAAGACCCAGAGCTCCAGCCATTGTTGTGGTGGAACAGGAACTAGTGTGAGAGCAGAAACACCAGAAGAGCACTCGTCGTGGAAACGGAACGTTTGAGAAGATACATCAAGCTCCAAACGTTCCCCAACACAAGAAAAGATCAACAGACACAAAGTTCTCATATCATCACATATAGATGAATTTCTCCTGGTTTTATTGAAATGTAGTTGCATAAAAATGACCAGAATCTCCAAAATCTTTAATCCAAATTTCAGAAATGTTGTGGAAAATAACGATATGCTGGGACATCTTCTCTAGGTTGAGCAGATCTGTTCTATAGAGGACACACATGATCTTCTACTGTTGCCAAGACAATATAAGTACATTCTGTGTCTGAAGTGATGTCCCTGAAAAATTATATTCAACATTTTGTATATTAGATTTCATGGAGAAAACAGGCCTGCACCAATAAAATAAAAACTAAAGAGTTGACCATTAGCACCGCCGTTTCTCAGTTGTCTGGAGATCTTTTTTTCTCTGTTGCAGCACACCCAACTTCCTGTTTTTATTTATTTTTTAAGTTTAAATGTTAAATGATCATCACCTTCAGGAACACTTCAGCTAATGAGCAGCAGCTATTTCTGTGTGACAGATGCTGAAGACCGGGGTAAACAGAGGAAATGAAAGTTGAATCTGTGCAAAGTTTAGGTGAAGTGTGGCGGTATCTCACACTGATTGTTTCTAGTTACAACTCCAGCCCTTCTTTTCATGAAAAACAACTTCCTGTCTGGGTCGTTTGTAAACCGCTCACTGCAGTTCCTGAGACAATCATGTACCTGGGCTGAGGACAGTGAGTTTATCCTTCAGATCCATTCTTCTTTCACCAAATGTGCTGGATACTCCTAAAATCCAGTTCATAAGCTTATAAGCCCCAGATGTAACCAAACAGGCCCAGTTTTTCTCATTTCAAAATAAAAAAAGGAGGGTCATGGCTACTGTTTACAGTCAGCGCTGGCATTTGCAATTTGACTACGGCTGGCCAAAAGCTCCAGTTATTTAAAGAACCAAAACCAGTAGGAGCAACCCAGAAATTATTTCTTGTACTTCCAAGAAGCCACTGCATCTTTTTTTACTCTAATATCGGGTAAAGAAGGCTAAAGGCTAACGTTGAGGTAGCAATGCTAACTGTGAATTAGAAGAAAATAGTTGGCTCTAAAAATATCTCAAGCTACTATTTCAATTACCAACAACTCAATATTACAGTGGAATGTGTTTAAAGCATAGACTGTACATACCAACAACTCAATATTACAGTGGAATGTGTTTAAAGTGAATAATGAGTCAGTCATGATGTTTTACTTCCTTAAATGAGTCGTTCAAAGCAATAACAGCAAGCTAACAGCAAGCTGCTCTAAAACAGAGGCATGTTACTGTAATAATGTGTAGTAAGTGCTCACTACCGAAAACACCCAGGAGTGCTAACACCAGATAAGACGATGTATTTATCCACGCATCAGCTTACTGTGTATGACTCGTCTTTGCTTGTTATCCAGAATCACCCGGAGTTGATCCGTAACTAGCAAGAGCCACAAGACTCACAGCACGGCAGTGAGAAAATGATTGCAGTAACCACATTTGACCACTGGATGATGTTTTTACTTCACTGCATACTGCACCTTTAATGTGTGATATTATTTATTTATTTATCTATCAATTTGTCTATCCATTTATTTATTTATTAGCCATTTCAGATTAATGATAAATGACCCGCTCTTTTATAGCGCCTTTCAGAGTCAGAGGACTCTAAAGCGCCTTACACTGTAGTACAGTGTATCATTCATCCATTCACACACATACACACAGTCACACACTGATGGTGATGAGCTACAGTGTAGCCACAGCTGCCCTGTGGTGCACTGACAAAGACTCCATGAACATAAAAAACTTGTTAAATTAAACCGTGTTGACAATGTGTCTAAAATAAATAATTAGAATAATTTTTGGTAAAATTATAAATCAAACTTAAGTGCCTCTAAATAATAAAAACAAGTCTAAGCTGAAGAGAATAAAAGTACATTATAGTGCAAGAAGCCGTTAGCATTAGCTAGTGCGTGAGAAGCCTACAGCTTCCTGGGAATTGTCTTGGAAATCTGTCTGTCACCCAAATATGACTAAATCAAACTGAACAGGAATTCTGTATCCACAAAAGCCAGCCTCTCCAAACAGAGACGGAGCAGGAAATCCAACAAAAGCCACAACGCTCCAACAGCACGTTGACAGAAGCAAAAGTCCTGTCAGTTGAACAAACTTTGTGTTTGTTAAGCGTCTAAGTGAAGAATCAACATTATAAGCCAGCACGCTTTCTCTGGATGAAGCTGTTTCTGTTTCAAATGCTCATGAATATATATATATATATATATATATATATATATATATATATATATATATATATATATATATATTTTTTTTTTTTAGTTTTTATTTTTTTGGTTTGGCACAGAGAAGGAGACAGCACAGTAGCTTGGTTTTCTAGCATTATGGTTGCAGCTGTTCTTTACAAGTCGCATCTTGAATAATGGTGAGCCATTTCATTTGCCTTTCAGTTGGAGCTGCATGAAGAGACCTCTGTTTGCTGGTGTGTGAGTCAGAGGAACATGGAAAAAGAGAGATGTCGGCTTGTGACTCCTCTCGCCATACTTCCCCTCCTTTTCCATTTTGTGTTTCTTTCTTGTTCTCTATCCATCTTTCTTTCTGACTTCCTTGGGTCTTATCCTGTGTGGTCCCAGTCACTTCCCTCCTTCCTTTCATCTCACTCAGAGAGATAACGAGTATGATTGCATCACCCACACAGCAATTTGTCAAAACTTTGACTTAAAAAACATTTACTTTGATCCCAAGACTCCAAAAGAAAACGGTTGTAACTGTTGTTGCTGAGTAAAAGTAATTAGTGAAGAACTTCCTACTGTATGCAGGGCCGGCCCAAGGCATGCACGGGTAAAGGGTCTGCATAGGGCACCCACACCAACAGGGGCCCCCCAAGAGTACCAAGATGGCGTGAGAAAAAATATGTCTTAACAACTTTATGTAATTGAAACTATCGTATTTTCCGGACTATAAGTCACACTTTTTTCATGGTCTGGCTGGTCCTGCGACTTCTATATCAAAGTGACTTATAGACCAAATTATGTATATCGCGTTGCTGCGGGCCGACTCCGGACCAGGAATGAGCTCCCCTGCCCTGCCATCACCTGCTGGAGACCATTGCGCACTGCTGCGGACCGGCTCCGGTCAAGGTTTCAGCTCCTCTGCCCCGCTGGGAGGGTTTCAAACACCGCCATCACCTGCTGCAGCCTGTGGCGCGCTGCTGCGCCCTGACTGTTTATTCTGTTATTGTTACCGGTACTTGTCTTGCAATGTGAAATGCTTGGTCTCAGATTTAGTAAGAAAAATAATAAAATACAAGTAAGAATGTTTCCAACCTGTTCTGGTGTGTTTTGGGTCAACAGGGACGCCTGTCCTGGTGTTTGCTTGGAAAATTTCATGAACCAGTTTAAAAACAACAACACAGGTGAGTTCAAATGCCATCATTAATGAACAGCAGGGATGGTATACAGGTGTGTGATGAGAGTTAACAAGATTTTCAGGTCTTGTCTAAATTATTAAGATGATTGATATACTGTATGTATGCATCGACACATTTATACAGATTTGTGTGTGTGTGTCACAAACACACACATTTGCAGATGCATGTTGACTTTTAGAACTATGACATTCTTACACATTCTTATTAACCCTAACCCTAACTAAGACACAACAACATATGATCACCTCATAATCTGTGGTTAATTCACCTTAAATACTCTTAAAACCCATCATGTCCCCAAAAGAATAGTGAATTGTCTGCAGCCGTTCCCCATAAGTGCAGCTAAAAGCAGAGCGCACACACACACACACACACACACACACACACACACACACACACACACACACACACACACACACACACACACACACACACACACACACACACACACACACACACACACACACACACACACACACACTCTGACAGCCAACATTGGCTCTCCTCCTGGGTCTCCTCCTGTCCCCATCCTTTTCTTGCCTGCAGCTGCTGGCCAGCCTGTCAGTTTCCAGAAGTCAAACCATCAGAGGCGACGCCTCTTTGCGCCACCAAGTGGTAATGAGCTGTCCTGCATGTCTCAGCCACCCAGGCTCCACAGTTTACAGCAATTATGACTGAAGACTTTTAAGCTTTATCCACTAATTTGATTGTCTATGAAAAACAGACATTAATATTATTTTTATTATCAGAACCACTACCAGGCCAGCTCAGTGGCCTAGTGGTAGAGTGTCCGGTCTGGGACTGGGAGATCAGTGGGCCATTCCCATCTGTACCGGGTCGGCCCGGGCCGGGTAGCGTAGGTTGTTTACATATCTGGGTGGCCTGGTATTTTTCCGGGCCAACCAAGGCTCATTCTCAGCCCTCTTCTCGAGGGGGTCTGCTTCAGGCCGACCAGGGCCAACACACCCACTGCTGACAGCAAATTCACACCTTCCATTAGAGCAAGCCTCTGATTGGTGGGAAGAATCAGCCCACATGGGCTTAAGGCAAGGATGTGTGGAATCAACCGGGCCAGGCTGGGGCCGACTGGGGCTACCGGGCCCGGGCCGACCCGGTACAGATGGGAAAGGCCAACAGGATTCCATTCCCGGTCGGGTCATACCAAAGACTTTACAACATGGGACCCAACGCCTCCTAGTTTAATACTCAGCTTCAAATGGTTGGATTGGGGGGTTAAACTACAAAATGATTCCTGAGTGCAGCTGTGTCTGCAGCTCACCACTCTGCCAGTGGATGGGTTAAACGTGGAGAACAAAGCTCACCAGTGTGTGTGACAGCCCGTTTTTATATGTCAATGGTGACAACTAGTGGGACTTTAATTTTAACTTCATGGATGCACATGTTTTATAAGTTTTTATTGAGGCAACTTTATATATGGGCAGGGGTGCCCAATGCTAGTTCTGGAGGGCCGGTATCCAGCATGTTTTGGTGGTTTCTCTGCTCCATCACACTTGATTGAGTAGCTGAATCACCTGTGCCACCCACAGCTGATCAAGCTCTGCAGAAGCCTGTTAATCACTTGCTAATTGATATCAGGTGTGCTGAAACAAGCTAAAACATGCCGGACACCGGCTCTCCAGGAACGGGATTGGACACCCTTTATATTGGTTAAGGCAGCACAGGTCTGTGACTGGTTGTTTTCATGCTTATGTCACTGATTAAATTATCAGTTAAAAAAATTTGTCAAAGGCATGTATCCATTTTCTTCAATTTATCGAGGGTTGGGTTGCGGAGGCAATCAACCTCAACTGCTTCCTCTTATGGGGAGGAGCAGCAGATCTACTCCAAGCCCCTCCCGGATGACCACTAGCCTGGCCAGACTCCTCTTCTATTTAATTCTGCACAGAGAAAGGGTCTGGGAACTCTCCTATTCAAATAACCCCACCTCCTGAGAGTTCTAATCGAGCCAATCAGCACTGAGTAGCGAACGTCACACACCCCAACGCTGCGTTTGTCATAAACATGGCGACTGAAGTGGAGTTTGCTGCAGCTCTTTCCTCTGTCCTAAATGACTTGAACATGTCCTTAAAACCACAACAAGTAGAAGCGCTAAAAGCCTTTCTTCTAAAGAAAGATGCTTGCAATGTCGCCAGACGCCATTTTTAACTACAGCGTCGCGTGGTACAGTCTGCATTTCCAGCTTTTTTCTGATTGGTTATTTTTGAGCTGGCTATTCCCTCCCCATTGAGAGGAACCAGTTGAGGTGGCTCGGGCATCTGGTCAGGATGCCTCCTGGACGCCTCCCTGGTGAGGTTTTCCAGGCGCGTCCAACCGGGAGGGGACCTAAAGGTAGACCCAGGACATGTTGGAGGGACTATGTCTCTCACCTGGCCAGGGAACGCCTTGGGATTTCACCGAAGAGCTGGCCCAAGTGGCTGGGGAGAGGGAAGTCTGGGCCTCTAACCTTAGGCTACTGCCCTCACGACCCGACTCCGGATAAGCGGATGAAAATGGATGGATGGATGGATAGTCCCGTCCCTCATGTGCCTCTCTGCCTGTGAGTAACCACTGTTTCTCTGTGCAGAATTAAATAGAGGACGAGTCTGGCAGGTCAGGCTAGATGACCAAGCTCCTACCTATCTCAGTCCTGTGGAGAAAATCGTATTTAGGCCACTTGTATCCACGATCTTATTCTTTTGGTCACTACCCAAAGCTAGTAACCATTAGCCTAGTGAACTTGATCAAATTCTTGCTTTGCAAAGTTTGGTCTAGGGATGCTCCATTGGAACCTCTGCGGCCCCTAGCAGCATTCTGGCGGGCCAGTCACACCTCTCTAGGGTTTCCAACTGATAGAGCTGTGGGCCGCTTTGTGGGCCAATCATGGTTCTCTATTGGTCTGGTGGGCGGGATGCTGCAACGGAGTGGTTTTAATGGCTTTAACATCAATTTATGACTATTTGGATTTGGGCTTCATTAGAACCAGGAGCAGATCGATCTATTTAGGTCCTTAATTTAGAAAAATGACAATGGTAAACCCACCCTGTGACCAAGAACCATCAATGGAGTGTTGCCAGGCTACGTGACCATACGTGAGGGTAGGATCGTAGATCGACCAGTAAATCGAGAGCTCCACCTTCCAGCTCAACTCTTTTCATCACGACAGACTGGTCTGCATCACTGCAGACACGGCACCAATCCACCTATCGATCTCACGCTCCATCTTTCCCTCACGGGTGAACAAGACCCAGAGATACTTAAATTCCTGCACTTGGGGCAGGACCTCACCCCAGAGCTGGAGAAGGGATTCTGCCCTTTTCAGACTCGAGTTTCTGACTCAGACTTAGAGGAGGCGATTCTCATCTCAACTCTGTTGTGGCTTTTGATGCCACTCCGAGACTGCCAGTGAGAAAGAATGCTTCAGAGAAAAACAAAATAAAATCTATAACCAAAAATATGTTGTAGACAGGAGCAGAGACACATTTTAGCATCACAAACATGTAAAAAATCAACCAAAAACACCCAAAAGTAGTTAAACAGCCCAACATATTTTACAGAAATAAATCTATTGATGTTTTCAAAGTTGCATTTTTCAGGCGTGATTCACATATTTCCTCTCATAGGTGTAATTTTAAATAATTACTTGAGTTAGACCAAAATCCAACATTATTTTTCAGGATTCTCAGTTTCTCCGAAGACGTATAGAAGTGTGTAGCAGCTTATCCTGTAAAGTGACAGGTGCGTGTGAAAAGAGGATATTCTGAATCTTGTGGACAGCAGATGTGGCACCCTGATTTTTCAGCACTGGTTTCGTGCTCTCATTTATAAGCGGGAGATATTTTAAAAGCAGGTACATTGTCTCAATCGGCATCATTTCTGATCTCCTTTTCCAACACCCGTCCTTGGCTTTTGCAAATTTGCATTCACCAAGAGGCGCTGCACCTTTTGAGGTTACACAGACGAGAATTGGGGAGGATTTGGGGGATTTCTCTCCAGCAGATTTTTAGAGGGGCTGAGGTATCAATCAGGTGCTGATGTTACACTGATGCAACAGTTCAGCCTCTAGAGAGAGCTTCACTCATGGACGCTGCGGGGATCCATACCACCTCACCCAACAGCTAGTCAGCTACTCTTCAACATGCTGGGATGAGAGCGGTGTGATGTTTGAAGTCTCATTAATGATGTTTCTTTCAGGCAGATTTAGATAATAAACTGTAACTAAAATGTTTTGGACTTTGAAAGGAGAGAGGATCTGAAACCCTAATAAAACAACACATTTAAGGCATATGTAGACATTTATTCTCATGCTCTTTGCTGTCATCCCAAACAATAGAACTGCATTCATTTCTATGGATTTTACATTCAAGAGTGCAGGTCTTCAGTACAAATATAATAAAACATCTGAAAGTCAGAATATATATGTATTTCTTTAAAAACTTTGAAAAGGTAGCCTTTATGTGGAGCAAAATATACAAAAGAAAGAAAAAAAGGATCAGCAGGTGCAAACCGCTGGTCCTCAATCCCTGGAATATAACTAGAATTAGTTTGTTTTAAAAATAAATATCTTTTAAAAAAGGAAGCTACACTTTGAATTGCCAGTGTGCATTTAGACAAGCAATAACGTGTTCTTCACATTCTTTAAGGGTGGGTGATAATCCCAGAATGAGGTGCAGAAGTTGGATTTACTTCTGGTTCCGTTACCTAACAGAACTCAGTTTGAAACTCCAAGAAAAAAACTGTTTTAGTCAAAAAACCAGCGTTTTTTTTTTTTTTTTTTCCAAAAGATGAGAAAATAAAGAGAAAAAAGTTTAGGTGAGCATCCCTCAACATGGAAAATCTGATGCATGAAGAATTCAATAACCAGCTTTGAGGTAAAAAAAGGTGCTTCAGGGCAAACCGAGGCTCACTAGTTGATCTTCTTTTCCATCTCTCCACTCTCCACCTCGTCTTTGGCTGTTGTGGAGCGGCCCGGTTCTGTAGGAGGAACGGGCCCCGGTGATCTATCCTCGCTGGGCTCTTTGGTTGAAGCGTGGGGCGTGCTGCTGTTCGCCATGCCGTTATCACGACACGCTTTCGTCAGGTCACCTGAGAGAGCGGCGTATGGGGAATGGCTGCTGAAGAGGGTCCGGTAGAGCGCAGACTCGATGAAGGCGAAGGGGGAGGAGGAGGAGCCCGTCAGCATCATGCGTGTCTAAAACACATGAAGAATAAATAAATATGAGCTTCAGGGTAGAATGTGTGTATCAAGCTGTAAATGAATTAATTCATTAAATTAACACACACGTCATAACAAATGCTAAAGCCAGCGTGAACATCGGCGCAGGCCTACACTAGTTTGAGGAATATAAAGGAGGCTACAAAATGACGGACTGATTGTGACCGGGCTTTGTTGCTATGGGATTTGTAAGTAATAATAATTTTTGTCCAACACTGTGGATCTCTTTACTTTGTGGTTTATTTTAGTAGCAGTTGGCTCATATTAGTGTTAGCTTGCTGTTAGCGCAAGCTACAACAGGCAGCAGCAGGGTTAGGGCTGGACGATATATAAAAAAAATGCTTATCGATAAAAAAAATCGTATCGATCAATATCAATAATTATTGAAAACTGTAGAAAATATATTTTCAGTGGAGCCCTGGCCATTTCATGCCATTACTTTATGATAAAAAAGTTGGTTGCATAACCAAACTTGGTTTTTATCGATGCTCTGCAAATTTAGCAAACCACCCTTGTTGGTTTTTGTCATTCTAGTAAGAATGAAAATATTACCACACTGGTGAGGTATTGTAACTTTTCAGGAAAATTTCTTCCACTTCTTTTTGCTGCAACATATTGTTTAAGTCACATTGCTGTCTGTTTAGGTTTGAGAGGGGAGGGCTTGGTGACAGAGCATGCTTGTGCCTGTGTTTGTGATTGGTTGGATGCAAGTAAAAACTCTAGTATGAACCTATTCGTTAGGCAATAATGGAGAAAGGAAACTTTTTTCTTAAGTTTAGCAGGGTTGTTTACGACAGTTGTAATTCCACTTTCAACCAGTAGGGGGGAGAAGCAGGAAACTGCTCGGTGTTAGTTTAAACCTCAGATAGTTTTTATCTAGAACATGTGCGACATATTTCAGCATTTTCATTTCAAAATACAAGGCTTTCAGTCAATTTGAGGGACAAATAGCTGGAAGAAGATTTATTATTATATCCGCATTCATCAGATGACTAAAATAACAAAATAGTAAAAAAATAAAATAAAATAAAATAAAAAAAGGCTCATTAAGTTTGCCATTTGTTGGGTGTTTCATGTTTTTAAGCGTTTAAAAACAATTCAACTGTATTTAAACATTTTCATTCATAGCTGCTGTTTTTATCCTATTTAAGCTACTTTTGTATTCTGTCTTTGTTCATGCACCTTGACTTGATGTCCGCTGCTTCGTTCCTGTGTCCCATGCAAGAATAACAAAACATCCTTGAAAAAGGCTTAAAAATAAATAAACCAGTTTCTGCAGGATTCAGACTTAAAATCACGCAGACTTGTGAAAAGGGTCAGATTATGTCCACCATGTGGCTAAAGTAGGTTTCAGTAAATATTCCTCCTTAAATATCAAGTCACATTGTGGCTGGCTGAGGAACACGCTCATTCACCCCACTTATGCAGAGCTGATTTCATTATTATGTACCTGAAGACACAAAGGACTGGTGATTAGTGTGTATCTAACTAAATAACATCATCAACAACACAAAATAACAAACAGCACCGACCCGGCTCTGAAATCTGATGAAATGGTTTGCTGTTAATTTGACGGATCAGTCGGAGCGAGCTAACAGAGCAAAAGTTGAAAGAAAGAAGATGTGATAGATTTATCTGTGTCTCAGTCAAGAGCAACCAGTTTCCCAGAGAAGAGAAAAGTGGATGATGCAAGCTGATGAAAATGATGCAAACGCTCCAGCCCTATGGGTAATACCCAACTAACGTGAGTCACTGCAGCCAAAAGTTAAAAAAACATGGAGAAAGGTCATTTAGAAGACAAGATGGGGAAGGTGCTGCTGCATAAAACCATCTGATACGTGGAGGTGTGTTTTAGTTTTAATAGAGAAGAGTGGTTCCTTACAGTTAATCTGCACGTTAACAAGAGCAGAGGGTTAAGACTCACCTTGTTGGCGACGATGAAGATGGTGTAGATCAGCATCAGGTGGTGCTTCTGGAGGGGCAGGTAATGGGTCTGCTGCAGGGAAAACAGCACCGCCCCTATCAAGGTGATCTTTGTGGGGCTGAGCAAATGAACAAAGAACAAAATATCAGATATAGAAGAAGAAAATGATTAACTTTTGACTTCTAAACCAGCTGTGATGCCTCGTGTTTCCTCTACGCTGTTCCTCAGGTGGACAGCATGATGGAGCATCTGTGTAATCACTAGTTCGGGACATTTAACAGGCTGAGAACTCGAGTTTCAATCTGCTGTTTTCAACCAATCAGAGCAGACCAGAGCTTTCATTTAAGCTGAAGACAATAGCTGCTGCCGACGTGCAAAGTGTGAGGAAAAATGTATTTCACAAAAAAAATCTGTTGTAATGAAACTCTGAAAAGATTCAAATGACAGGCCTATTGCCTGCCACCTTTCACGTAATAAATAAACATCAACTTTAAGCATTTTTTGAGAATAAAAAAATATATAAAAACACCAGATGTGATGTCAGAAAGCTGTCACTTAGAATAATTACTAGTAGAGGCGGACTGATATATTGGCGTCAACTGATATTTCTCCTTGATAAAGTCAGGCACATCCAAGGGCAGCCTGGTGCTGCTGCAGAATTTTATTTAAATACATATTTATGTCCCTACATGCTCTACAAATTATTTTCAACAAAAAATGTATTATATTAATGTTTGGTGTCACAATTTTTACTTTTCCCATCTTTATGGTATTTTTAATCATATTTTTGATTGTTTTTATTTTTCATTTCCATTCTCGTGAAGAGCCTCGTGATTTTTATCTTCAAATTCTATCTATGTAGAAGATTGTTTCTTCTTCTCAGTCAGTTAATGTATTTGTTTGATTAACTTTAGTTAGACGTCTGATTTTAACACTGATCAGTGAAAATTAAGATTTAACAGTTGGTTCAATTCAGTGTTCAGAAACTGATTCGGCTGATATTTTAGAGACATTTTAGCGTGGAAATCAGGTGGAAAATGTCTAATTATCAGCCATGAAAATAGGCAGCACATATCGCCCATCGGCTGACCGTGACCTCTACATGTCAGCATCGGTATCGGCACTAATACCCATATCGGTGGACCTCTACTCACTAGGACATTTTGAGGAGCTCGTTGGTTTCTGGTTTCCACACACCCCGAACAAGCTGCTCAAAGTTACTTATGAGGCCTCCTCCAGCACCTGGAGACAGAAGAAGACACCGACATCATCATCATCATCACCTTAATATCAGGTACTTTAAAGAGAATGGCCCTACTGACCTCTCGCCCATCCAATGGCGATCATAACCAGCAGGCTGTCTTTATACTTGCTGTGAGCCTGTGTGACCCCTCCCAGGACCTTCCATGTCCTGGTCACCTCCTTCATCCCTGACAGCACCAGCCTGAGGGGTGGCAGGGCAGCACAGCTGTACACCACGTCCATGGGGCAATAAAACACCAGGTACCTGTGGAGGCAAATATTCACTAGACCATGACACAACATTCACATGTGACGTGTTAAAGCAAAACTCATGCCTCAGAGGTTCCTGCTTTAACCACCAGAGGGCACTGTGTCTTTTTTTAATGTGGGAAAATGCAATTTTATATCAAACCAGCAGAGAGCACCAAAGGCTTAATAATTGGAGAAGGAAACTAATTATTGTTCTGGTTTTTGCCTTCCATATGTTAAGCTTCTCTTGAATTAAAGCATAATGCTCTCAGACGTTCAAAGCACTTCCCAAGATCCCTCTCTGTTCCCAGACCCAGGCTCGGCTGCTTACCACATGACTGAAGCCAGAAGAACACTCATCCCGTTGGACAACGGCGCTATGGGCGGCTCGGCCAGCATGATCCCGGACAGCACTGCCCCTCCGAAGCAGTAGAGCATGGAGCTGAACCAGCAGGCTAAGGGGCTGACTCTGGACACTGCTAGAGCTCCTGTGCAACAATAGGAAATATTCAATTCAGCATGACTGATGTGGATATCTCACTTATTGACTTCTGAATGGCTCTAATATCATCCGAGTCTGCATATGTCTGAGCAATCCGTAGAAAACACCATAAGGGATGTAATGAGTACATGTATATTCACTTCAACTGCTCTATGAAAAACTATGGTTTAGCCTTGATGCACTGTAAAACCAGTACATGCTAAATATTACAGCTTGACTGTCACACGTTGGCCTTTTTCCTGTCTGCCTCCCAGTCCTGACTGTATAAATATTAACTTGTTCAGTGAGGGATGTTTGAGCTGGGATCAACAGTGTGGGGATGTTTGAAGTAGAACAATGGTATTCATCAGATCTGTTCAAGGGTCATAACCTTCAGCAGCATCCTGTTTAGATGTTTCCACCAGAACAAAATTGGGGGTGTTTTCTCCTAAGCCTTACTCACAAACTGCACTGATTTATAGTTTGTGTTTTCCTTTGTGTAAATCTTAGATGTGAGGCGTTTTGGTTTCTTGACATAAAGGTCATTGTATGGCCTCGTCGGCGTGGCATTAGGAAACGACCTGTGCTGCAGGTGGAGGAGTTTAGGTATCTGCGGGTCGTGTTCAAGAACCGAGCAGGAGATTGATAGGCGGATAGGGGCTGCATCTCCAGTGGATGTGGACGCTGAACCAATCGGACAAAAGGGATTTGAGTCAAAATAGCAATGTTATCAATTTACCAATCTATGTTTTTACCCTCCATCATGGTCAAGAGTTGAAAGAATTTTATGTGTTTATACAATCAGCTCAAATGAGCTTCTGGGCCTTGTCAGGAGGATTCTCTTCCTGCTGCATCAAAAGAGGTTCATTGAGGTTGTTTGGTCACCTGGAAAAGATGTCCCTTGGATGTATTCCAATGGAGGCGTTTCAGACATGTCCCTTTGGGAGGAGACCTCGAGGCAGACCCAGGACTTGCTGGAGTGAATATAAATTACAGCTGGCCTGGGAAAACCCACCGGATGAAGCAGAAGGCCGTTTACAGATCTTTGCTGTCGACCCTAGTTTTACCCACAACTTGGTCCTGGCTAAGCATCAAGAGCTGGATGGAAGGTGTTAAGATTTCACGTCTTCACAAAACAACCCAGTGCCACTAGTACAACTCAATACTAATCTCATCTATAACAGTAAATAAATAATAAATATGTTTCACCTCAACCAGAAAGCTCTTGTGTTCTACCTGTCCCAAGTAACTCAAGCCACATTCAGCATGGTAATCTGAGGATTACGGATAGATTACAGCCTCCAAGGAAGGGATCTGACAGAGTTTAAAGCTCTCTGTGTCTTCTCAACAGATTAACTTGGACTCTGCACCCTTTAAACTTCCCTTTGGTAGGCATTTACAGCCGTTTATAGATAAAAAAAAACTAAGCAATTAAAAAGTATAGGAACTGCATACACCTGTGTAAGCAAGGCTTAAGACAAATGCTTAAAGAAACTTCTGAAGCGGTCCAAAAAAGTCTGTTTATCCCAGGAAGCCTTTGCCCTATAGGGCTGAACGATTCTGGGAATTAATCTAATTGCAATTTTTTTCTTCAATATTGCAATTGTGATTTAATTCACGATTATTTTCTCAAGGGGCTTTTCTCATATTTTTCAACTACCGGAAGCAAAAAAAAAAAAATCTATGTAACTTGAACTAAATATAAACAAGTTTATGCATCTACATATTTATCTACATATCATGTCTAGAGGTTTATTTGTCTACATATATATAAACACAAGTAAAGACACATTTTTTATTTGAAGGTACAATGCTTTGCAGCCAGGAGCACATCCCTTGAAGGAGAATAGGTATTAGTTAGCCTGGCCAGCCAGACTCCTCCTCTTAATTCTGCACAAAGAAAGGGTCTGGGAACTCTCCTATTCAGATAACCCCACCCCGTCAAATTCTAACCGAGCCAATCATCATTGAGTAGCGTACGTCACACACCACAACGCCGAGTTTGTCATAAACATGGCGACTGAAGCAGAGTTTGCTGCGGCTCTTTCCTCTGTTCTAAATGACTTGAATGCCTTTAAAACCACAACAAGTAGAAGCGCTAAAAGCCTTTCTTATAAAGAAAGATGTTTGCGCTGTCGCCAGACGCCATTTTTGACTACAGCTAAAAAACTACAACATCGCAGTACAGTCAGCATTTCCGTCTTTTTTCTGATTGGTTATTTTTGAGCTGCCTAGTCCCGCGCTCCTCATGTGCCTCTCTGCCTGCCTCTCTGCAGAATTAAACAGAGGATGAGTCTGGCAGGCCAGGCTAGGTATTAGCACCAACTGTGAAAATTATTTTGCAGGAAAGAAGTGTGTTTCATTTTTGAAGTCTTATGTTTAGAGTTTTTGATGTCTTGTCCATGCAGAGCTTCCGTATTTCATTTACATCCACAGCTGCTAGCCATAACTCAGTGGCGTTAAAGTCTCTTACGGTTTTCTAGCTTTACTAAAATATCTGTCTGTACTTATTTGATTGATGGCAGTTTTAACTTTTTAATAGACTCCAAATGTAATGATTTGGCATGTTCCTAATTCGTAATTTGTGAGAATGGAATCGGCAATATTGCCATTAGCATCCCTATGGGTTATTCCATGTTTATTAGCACTGTGCTAACCACTCGCTGCCAGTCAAATCGCAGCCTTTGTGATTAGAAAATCTCCTTTTGTTACATCGCAATTGAATTGTATATGCAATTAATTGTTCAGCCCTACTTTGCACATTTTAGAAAACTACATTCTTGGCATAAAACAATTTAAGAATGGTTGCCAGAGCGGGACTTTTAAATTATCGATGGCATAATGGCAATAACAAAAGCACGCATGTACCAGTTTTGGTCCTAGAGTGAGTGGAGTCTGGCAACACGACAAAACACAGTAAACACGAACCAATGTCACACACCAACATATAATAATCAGACGGCAACTCTTGCAAGATCAAACATGACTTTGGAGTAATAAAACATCAGAGGAGCATGCAGAGTGCTTCCATCACATTACTTTCTGATTGGCTATGTCAAAAGTCGTCAAAAACCTGACAAAGAAAATCCAACATGTTTAATATCCTCGGTTTGTGGTTGAAGTGGGCTCAACATGCTTCTGAGCAGACCAGAGTGCTTTTAACTTGGGATGTCCCATTCCGATGTCGGAAGTAATTCGATATCGGCCCAAAAACTGTGTATCGGATTATATCGGACAGCATCAAAAATCTTCGATATAAGCAGTCCTTTAAAGTTCATCTATTTGCAATCAGTGGTTAAGAAAAAAATGTTCATTTCATATTTACTGTTGTTGGCTCTTGTCTTGTAATATCACTTGATCAAGCCTTTCATTAATTACACACTACAAAACATGTAAAAATTATGTATGATTTGTTCTGATATCGTATCAGATTGATATCGATATTGGTCAATACTGAAAGCTACAATATCTGTATCATATCAGAAGTGAAAAAAGTTATATCGGGACATCCCTACTCTTAACACACCACACACAGCAGGAATATTTGATAGGATTATCTTCAGAGCCATTACGGTAATTGGGTATGTCACACATATTGTTGGAGGGGAGTATCAGGTCAGAAATCAGCTCAATCATCTTCTCATGTGAACAGGTCTTAGACTTCTCATCCACTAAAACAGGTAAATTGTGAAAACCAAAACTAATCTGACAGAGTTAGACCTAAATGTCTGAGCAGATGAACGAATCATTTTATATGTGGTATAGTTATGTAGTTTAGTGTTTTTAGTGAGATTTCAGTTGTTTCATCCATCCATCTAAATTATGTCATCCTCACTAGAGTCACGTGTAGCTAGTGGCCGTCTCCAGTTGGCACTGGGTGAGAGGCGGGGCACATCTTGGACAAGTCTCCAGTCCATCACAGGGACACACCGAGACAAAAACAGTCACACACTCACTCACATCTAGGGACAATTCTCCAACCACTCTGACACGCACATCTTTGGGCCTGTTTTTTAGCATGTTCTCCTACACGAGGAAAACATGCCAACTCCATGCTGAAAGGCCACGCCAATGGGATTCGAAGGGGTGGCCACTGTACTACGAGTAAACAGTGTGCCACCATGCCTCCTTCGTTCTACTTGAGTGATAAAAGTTCTTCATCTGGTCTGATTGGTAAAAGGCACCCTTCGTTTATTAAGTTGCTGCAACATTTTCAAACACAAGAATGCTTAAAGAAATTAGAAACTATTTGAAATAAGACTGTCAATTTGCAGCCTTCCTGATAAATGCTGAAGTAGGTATTTTGGGTCTAACAGCAGACAGGGAAAGTTTTGAACAATCACAGGATATTGTTTGAATAGTAAACACTGCTGATGTGCTATCATCACTCTTAGTTCTGAAGCAAAACAAGATGCTGCAGCATGCCAACCTGGCTGTCCAGGAGCCAAAGGAAATTGTATTTTTAGTGATAAAATTGAACTATAGTTTAGATTTATTGCCAAAAACTAGACACAATTTGACAACTCCGACAGTCAGAGAGGAAAGTTTTCTTCAGGTTTTGAATTTGAAGGACAAACATTTACAAGTCAAATATGAGGCCATTTCCACTGCTGGCCATGAAGCAATGGCCCTTTGGTCTTTCTTCATATTTCTCTTCTGCTCATCTGGAGGGGAACAAGTTACATCAATCTCATGGGTGTTCTTTTTTAGAAAGTTTCACCTCACAGAACCATTATGGTATAAATGCTACAATCTCAGAACATTCTGTTATTTGCAGATTAGAGCAAACATTGTTTCTTCTCTAAATATGTTTAGTAACCATTTGGGTAACACTTTAGTTTTAGAGAACACAAATTAACCATTAATTAGCTGCCAATTATATGCATATTAGTGGACTACTAAGTCAGAATTAGTCATTATTAAGCTATTATTAGGTGCTTATTACCAATGCCGTAATTCTAACATCAACAGGCCATAAATTAAGAGTTTTATCATAATAAGCCATTCATAATAGTTCGTTAACTGAAAGGAAATGGTTTGTTGCTGATTAACACACATACTAATTAGATCGAATCAATATGTGGCTTTTAAAGAAGTAAATCAAGGGGATTAGTTATTTCTTCACTAATAACCAAAAATATTATGTTGTGGTATTATGTAAATAAACACCAAACGCCACATGTTAATAGAGCCACAATCATCTAACCACTTGTAGGCAATAATCTGTTCCCCATTCTAAAGTCAGATTTTGTTCATACTTAATTATTAGTAGTTCTGTATCAATTAACCGCTTAAAGGCAAGAATATGTTCCCCTTGAATTACTTCTTTAAAAGCCACATATTGATTTGAGATACTTAGAATGTGCGTTAATCAGCAACTAACCATTTACTTTCAGTTAACAAACCATTATGAATGGCTTATTAAGATAAAACTCCTAATTTATGGCCTGTTAATGTTAGAAATAAGCCATTAGTAATAAGTTGTTAATAAATGCTTAATAATGACTAGTTCAGACTTAGTAGTCCACTAATATGCATATTAATTGGCAGCTAATTAATGGTTAATTTGTGTTCCCTAAACTAAAGTGTTACCACAATTGGTATACAAGAGAAAATAAACTCATATATAGCTGCACTCTTCTATGTGTCTGCCCTGGTGCTTCTTAAACAATCTGTCTGGCAGGAAGCGCAATATGTGTTAAAAATAGACAACTAACGAGATAAACACTTAAAGAGAACAAGGAAACTATTACCATGCTGTGCACAAATCCCGAGTGTGTCTGAATCAAATAATTTCCTGTTTAAACTTAAATAAGGATTTTTTTCTTGACATGTTGGTGAAAGGTCAAAGTCAGGGAGGGCTGAATGGTTCATGTCATTTAGGGGAGAGAAAGTCCTTGTTTTGACTCCATCTTCATTGACATTCATACATTTCTTTTGAGTTCCTTGATGTGAAGCTAGTTGGCTTCCTTCAGTCCTATCTCAAAGGCAGTAAAACACACACACACACACACACACACACACACACACACACACACACACACACACACACACACACACACACACACACACACACACACACACACACACACACACACACACACACACACTTCCTGCATGTTTACTTTTTGTGTTAATTTTAAACTTTGTGAATTTACTCAAGTCTGACTCGGTTCGATGCAAAGGGTGGAAGACAATGGGTTAAAATGTCAGCAGCTCGGATGCTTCGCAGGCAACTTCTAAAATAGACTTACAGCAGGACTACAATGGGCTGTGCTTGTATGCCTCAATGTTTGTGTTACTGTGCTGAAAGTCAACAGTTCTGAGTGGATAAAAGTCCAACCGTCTCCATGGCTACTATCAGTGTAACACATGGCTCTGTGTTTGAGCTTCTGTCACATTCTGAGACAGATAAAGGTTTATGTCTGAAGAGTATTTCATGCATTTGTGTTTCTTTAGTTTTAGTGGAAACATTTATACCAGAATTAGAGCCAATTATATCATTGCTAAATGTCGATTACACACAACACAAGCCTGCTAAAACAATGGCATCTGACCGGTACAATAAAAGATCTTGGCATTTGGATTGTAAAGATAATTTCCTTCAGGGAAAAAGTAGGAATTTTAATCATTAAAGTCATTAGATCTCAGATCTTAACAGGGTGGTAGTATAAGAACAATGTATGAAGTACAATTAGAAAATGCTAATGGAGTGTAAACGAATGTTTTTTCATGTTGACTATATCATTTAAAATGTACTTTTGTTCATTAATTCATTGTTTGGGGGAAATCAATGGATCTGCAAATTAATTTAGTTGATGACGTGGTTCTGATGAGGGCTTCAAGCCATGGTCTTTAACATACTTATGGTGCAATTGGGATCATGGTTCTCATGGTCTATGCCTCAAATGGTCTTGGTGTCTTGATCATGAGTCATGGTGTGTGTGTGGGGGGGGGGGGTGGGGGGGGGGGGGGTGGGGGGGGGGGGGTCCACTGTCCGACTATAGCCCCAGTTGACGTCAGCAGCTCCCCATCCCCGCTGTAAACAGTGTGACCGAGTTGCTGCCTTCCTCTCCTGAGGCGCCGGACAGTTTGCCAGAACCTCTTTGGAGCCGATCGATAGTCTTTCTCCATGGCCTCACCAAACTCCTCCCACGCCCGAGATTTTGCCTCGGCAACTGGCTATCCGGTACCTGTCTGCTGCCTCCGGAGACCCACAGACCAGCCACGCCCTGTAGGCCTCCTTCTTCAGCCTGACGGCTCCCCGAACCTCTGGTGTCCACCAGCGGGTACGGGGGTTGCCACCACGACTGGCACCGGCCACCTTGCGACCACAGCTAGCAACAGCCACCTCAACAATCACAGAGTGGAACAAGGCCCACTTGGAGTCAATGTCCCCGACTGCTCTTGGGACGCGGTCAAAACTCTGCCGGAGGTGGGAGTTGAAGACTGTCTTAACAGGTTCTTCTGCCAGGCGTTCCCAGCAGACCCTCACTATGCATTTGGGTCTGCCAGGTCTACGCAGCATCTCCCCCTGCCATCTGATTCAACTCACCACCAGGTGGTGATCAGTTGACAGCTCCGCTCCTCTCTTCACTCGGGTGTCCAAAACATACGGCCGCAGGTCAGATGATACGACTACAAAGTCTATCATCGACCTGCGACCTAGGCTGCCCTGGTACCAAGTGCACCAATTGGCATCCTTATGATCGAACATGGTGTTCATTATGGCCAAACTGCGACTTGCACAGAAGTCCAATAACGAAACCCCACTTGAGTTCAGATCAGGCGGGCCGTTCCTCCCAATCACACCCCTCCAGGTCAAGCTGTCATTGCCCACGTGAGCATTGAAGTCCCCCAGCAGGACAATGAAGTCCCCTGATGGAGCACTATCTAGCACTCGCCCCAGGGACTCCAAAAAGGGTGGGTACTCTGAACTGATATTTGGCCCATACGCACGAACAACAGTCAGGACCCGTTCCCCGACCCGAAGGTGCAGGGATCAATGCATCCTTCTGCGGACTTGGGACAACAGAAGAAAGCTACTAACTGTACAGTTTTATATCAGGAAACACTAAGAGAAATATTAAGTTGTCTGTTAATGTAAATAATCGAGTAAAAATAATTAACTAACTAAATATCAAAATAAAAGCAGAGTAGCTCTGTTTTGAAGAAAAATATATTTTTTATTAATTTAACAGCAGGAAATGCTGATATTTTATCAGTTTTGATCAAAAATGAACCAAATATAATACAAATAATATGTTTTTGCTGTTATTTTGTTATTTAAGAAACAAACTAGACTTTATTTTTGTGTCAAGTTGTTTAACCGAAGCTAGAAACAAGCAGTGCTTGTTGCCTTGACACAACAGAGTACGGTTCTGTTCCAAATGCTGTCCTCGTCCTCCCGTACTCAGTAGAATGGACTTTCTGGTGTCCTTGCCAAGAACATACTTGTCTGGTACACAAGAACGTACTAGCTGTGTTCCTCCGACATAGGCTCAGGCATGGCGCCGCACCACGGCTGATATTCCAGTGCCACGCCTACGAGATCCCCCCCCCCACCCCCCCCCACACACACACGGAAGGGAAGCGCTCCACACGCAACAACCCCCTCCACTCCGCTCTCACCGACAACGCACGGCAGTGAAACAGTCCGCTCGCAACCCCCTGTGGACAACACTCAGCATCAAAACGTTCCACGCTCACACTCCCTCAGCCCCCCACCCCCCACCCCACCCCCCTGCGCGTGCGCCAGGGCTGGAAATTTTTCTAGGGGAAACACTGACTAGCGTCCTTGAGTATTGCGCTTCTGTAGTTGTGCTGTATGCTCACAAGTAATTCAAACGTCCTTGCCTCAAGCAGTGGCCATAGCAAGTACCAAATTTGATGAGCCACCATCTTGCCCCCCTTATAAAAACTTTCTAGAAGCGCCCCTGTCTGAAGGAAAACACTTCCTGAAACTAGAATTAAGGCAGCGGCCTTATTCTGTAACACAACCTACATCCAATATAAAGTATATAAAATATGAAAGTCATCATTAGTTAGGGGTTTTCAGGAGCTCTGTGTTGTATCAAAACCTTGATTAATGTATTTTAGTGTTTCAGTATGAGTGAGTTTTATACTTGTCAGGTGACTTATTTAGGGTTTGGTGGACTTTTCCAACTTCAACTCTTCTAAACTTCACCTGAACAAACTTTTGTTGTCACAAAAACAAAAAAACAGAAGAAAAATCTGGAACTTTCTCCTTACCTGGCTGCTCCCTCAGAGCCATCACTGACACGATATAGTGCGCCATTTCAAAGTAAGGAAACATGGACAGGTTAGCCAGTCCGTGGGACAGTTCGTCCAAATGCAACATTTCGAGCAAATCCATGTTGTCTCTGGTTTCTGGGACAAACAAACAGCAGTTGGGCTATGCTACTTCCAGAGAGGATCTCAAGTGGAGAAACTAGAGGCACCGGTCGAACCACGGTGGAGCATCAGGAGAGCAGGCTTCATCCGCCGCTTGGGTCTGACACAAGCCGAGGAGGAGGGGAGGCAAATGGAACAGCTGTGTTTTGGAGCTACGCCGCTGCAGAGCGGCACACAACTGGCTAGTTTTACTCCACAGGACAGGGGCACCACCACTCGGTCCGTCGCTGGGCAACGGTCATTAACAGCCGTGAATCACACGTAGTCCTCCGCGCTGCATAGGCGGAATTCCTGCTCTGCTTCCGCCATGGTGGTGATGTGGCGGGAGGAGCCAGGATGAGAGCAGCGGGGCCCGGTTGGTGCATCGACATAATATACGTTTGGTGGCGTCGTCAAATGAGAAGAGATGGGGTGACTAAGGGAAATGTGGTGTAAGTAAACAAACCCAGAACCCTCATAAATATAATTACTTTCAGTTTTATATTGCTATGAGCGCAGGGGCATCATAGACAGTGGTGCTCCCAAGGGGTGCCCCCCAGGAAGATTTCCCCCACTTTAATAAACCACGTAAACCATATATTAATCTTCTTTTATCAAATCATGCATGTAAATCCCAATAAAGTCTAAGTAATTAATTAGTCAGTCAATCAAAAAAAGATATATTACTGATGCTCACTATTTTCAAAAAGTGAACGCTTTCATTCAAGACAGCCAGAGGCAAATTCAACTGATGAAAAAATAAATGTTGCAAAATAATTCAAAGTTTTTTTACATATACATTTAGATCTATGCTACGTTTGTAAGTGTTTATGATTCATACTTGGACAGCAGTGGTGCAGGAGGTAGAGCAGGTTGTCCAGTAATCGTAAGGTTACAGATTCAATCCCTTCTCCAACCAGAGAATGCTGCCATTAACCCACCTTGCCTGCTGTTGGTGGTTGGAGGGACCAATAGCACCAGTGTTAGGCAGGCCTTGCCTCTGTTAGTGTGCCCCAGGGCAGATGTGGCTACATTGTAACTCATCCCCACCAGCATGTGAATGGGTGAATGATAAAGATGTGCTAACCAATTCGCGGATTAGGATGATAAAAACACATAAAGCAAAATTTTGCCTGATTATCTGGTATGAATAATACTTGATGTGCATTTTGAGACACTCACACAAAAAAAAATCTAACAAAGTAGAAGAAACGGGCAAAAAATTTACTAAATGTGTCTGAAGTTGTAGCATGGCATTTCAGTTGTGCAACCAAAAGTTGATCCTGTGTACCGCTGCACATTTATAGTTCCCAATCTTCCGTAGCTTCCTGCAGCAGCAGCAGGTTTGATCATGCATTCAGTAAACAGTATCTCTCAGAAAAAAGCAAAGTAAATAGGAATTCCAATGCTACAAAAGGGAAAATCATAAAGTATCAGAAATGAAATGCAGAAAAGTTAAATAAATGCACGCAAGTTTCCACTGGAATGAAAAAAAAACGACATATACATGTAAATTTATCCTGAAATCTCTGGAATGTGCATTGTGTGTAAGTGTGACACCTGCTGATGAGTGCTTTCTCACAAGAAAAAAACTGATCAGCAACTGAGAAATAATTGTGAATAATTATAAATGAGTGTATGCCAACCAAAATTACCAAGAGGTTTGTTAATTTTCATTATTAATTTTCACGCATTGTAAATAATTTGTTTCATCAGAAAGTGGTGAGGATAGAGTATTCAAAGAGAAACTGTAATTTGGTTTATTAGCCAGTAGGTGGCAGTATTGATCTTCAATTAGATTACTTTATTTTACACTATTTAAACCTAACAGAAGAAGCAGTAACAGCTGTCAATAAAAGAGCCATTTCACATCTCTGGGGAAAAAAGGATTACAATTGGAAAAACAATATCAAAATTGAAGCTGGTGGTCTTCTTGGTTTGTATACAACAACATGTTAAAAGCCATCATCCCCAGTAAAACTCCACCCAACACCAGACCTGTGTTCAGAGCTGCTGCTGCACACAGATCTGTATCATCTTCTTAAGCTTTCTGAGCACCATCTCCATCAGAGATACGGCTCAGAAATGCTGAATGACACCCCTCGCAAATTTTGTAGGAGTCAGGGTTCAGACTTTTACACACACACACACACACACACACACACACACACACACACACACACACACACACACACACACACACACACACACACACACACACACACACACACACACACACACACACACACACACACACACACACACACACACACACACACACACACACACGTGCCTCCAGACACTTCTAATCAGTATTCCCCCAGTGCTGCAGGATTAAACTGCCTGTTCATCTCTGACAGTATCCGACTCTCTTTCCTTGGATATCTGGGCCCACCACAGAGAATCTAATCCTAAATCGGGGTTTTCACAACAATCAGAATTTTTTATGTCTACCTTTCTTCAGCTCATGACCTTCAGGTTACCCTTTAGTCTTCAGCTGAAATTCTGCCTCCCTCCAGGAAGGGAGGCGGGGGTGAGGCCAGATGACTCTTTCTAATACTTTCACACAGACCTGTTTCCTGGTGGAGGAACGGCTCTTGTTTCATTCATCAAACAATTGAAGGTCAAGTTAAACTATGCCTCTGGAATGTGAAAAAACAAAAAGAAGTTTGTACTTTGATAAAACGTGCTGTCAGCAAAGTCCAACCTCAAGTCTTGGCTTTTCCTACTGCTTTATGCTGCACACAGTTGGAATCAGCTTCCTCCTGACCTCAAATGTGCCCCAACTCTTGTAACTTTGAAATCAAAATGGAAAACTGTCACAAATTCATCAGTCTTTGAATGAATGTGCCTTATGCTGCACTTTCTGCACTGTAACTGGGGTTTTATAACCTTCTGTTTCATGTTGTTATGTTGATTTTACTGTTTTATGTTCTTGCACCTGGAAAGCACATTGAATTGCTTCTGTGTATGAAATGTGCTGTGTCATATCATATGTATATGTGCCTCTCCTAGTCACCATGTTTTCCATTCAACATCTAATTTACCCTTTACCCTAAAACAACAGTAAACATTTAACTTCATGATGTGATTCAGAAGATAAATGATGATTTTGTTTATTAAGGGAAAATAATCTAAACCAACCTGGCTTCTTGTGAAAACACAATGGTTCACTATAACTGGTTGTAACATTCTCAGGTAACAACAGCTACTACCGAGCACCTGTAATTACTAATAATGGGTCTGTGGTGGAATTCTGGCCCATTCTCTCTTACAGAATTGTGTCAAATACAAGCACATTAAAGGGTCTATCGGCATGAAAGGTAATTTTAAGGTCATACATTCTCTTTCAGGATTTTTAGGTAGAGAGCAGAACTCATGGTTTCATTTATTACAAGTCATCCTGGTCCTGAAACAGCAAAGCAGTCCCAGACCATCACACCACCACCACCACCATGTTTGACTGTTGGTTTGATGTTCTTACTCTCAAATGTAGAGTTATAATTAGACACATACCTTTCAAAAAGTTCCATTTTTGTCTCACCATTCCAGAGAATACAGTGGGGTCATCAAGATGCTTTTTAGTCATCAAAGGTTTTGGCCATGGAAGTTGGTGTCATTTTTCGCTTTCTTATTATTGATTCATAACCTTTGATCTTCACCCTAACCGAGTGCAGGGCTTTAGATGATTTTTGAGTTCTTTTAGCTTAATTTATGTTAGACACATTCTAGTGAAGGGAGTTCCCTAGAGGTCTGGTAGTAATCAAACCTGTAGACCTGTTCAATAAACCTGGTTAATCATTTATTTTATGATTTAATGGTGGGGCAAAAGTCAGCTTCACAGAAAAAAATATTATGATTTATCTCTGATTATAATTGGTCACTTTGAGTTTTCATGCAGGCTGAACATGAAATAGTCTCCTACACCTTTCTCCTACATCAGCTTCTGATAGAGAATAAACAATGAAACACCAGGATTGGAAAATCCTGGCGTTTCATTGTTTATTCTGTCCTTGCGTCATGTTGTGAGCCAGGAGGAGGTTAGGACCCAAGATGCAGAAAACCCCAGAATGACAAAGGCAGGTAGAAAAAACATAAAATCCTTTATTTAGGAATAAATGTCCAAATAAATCCAATGAGGGCAGGAAGCTAAAAAACCAATGTCCAAAAATCCTGGAGACGAAAGCTCACTTAATGAGCACAAACCTAGAGACCAAGTGGAAGCCAAATACCTAGAGACCTAGAGGGGGGAACGAGACAACGCTGACACAACAACAATGGACTGACAACACATTGAGACACAGACAGGGTTATATACACAGGGGTAGGGTTGTCACGGTAACCGGTATAGCGGTAAACCCCGGTAAAAAAGTTGACAATAAAAATAACCGTCCAGTTTTTAAAAAACTATATTATCTCGGTGGGTTTACCGTGGCCGCGGTTTCGGCGCGATGACCCTTACCAGCCACCGTCGCTTCAGCTGAAGTTCCCACGGCGCGCACACGCACTTTTTAATTTGCAACGGCACCAAAACTTTGAAGCTGAAATAATGGCCAAAGGAGGCGACGGCAGCGCCCAGGACATCCATCAGCCCTCAAAGAAGACTAAATCGGAAGTATGGGCATATTTGGGATTTCTGAAAAATGCTGAGGGACAGTTAATAGAAGACGGCTATCCCGTTTGCAGAACGTGCAGGAAACAACTGTCTGCAGAAGGCAGCAACACTTCAAATCTCATGGCACATCTGCGTGACGATCACCCACGTCTCCACAGCCAGTGCAAGGTAAGTCAACATTAGCATTTTAGCTGAAATGCATGACGTGAGGACTTTTGGTTGAGGGAGAATGCAACGAGTCACTATATACTGCAGCCGCAGCGTCCTCTGCCAGCATTTAAACCGTGTCACGGACACCCTGTTGCTGGATGAAGCATCTTATTTGTTGATGATGAAGAGAAATATACAATTAGTTCCTTGTCATGGATTTGTTTACTTATTCAATGCCATTTATACTTGAACATTTGGATTTGATTACATAGTGTAGTAGTTATTTTAGTAATTTGTTTAAAGTGGCTATTTATTTTAAATACATATTTTTTAAGGTTGACTTGTACAGTGCTCAAGTCAAGTGTGGACTGGAGTTTTAGATTTTCATTTTGATAATGAAGAAAACAAGTATATGAGAAAACAAGTGGTGTTTCTTTGATTTGTTTACATATTGTTTATGTTTTGAATGTTTGGATTTGTATAATTTAAACCTGCACTGACTACTGTAACAAGTTCCAGAAAAATAAGCTATTTGTTCCTTTACTTGTGAAAAGTTGCACTTTTGCTAAGGCTTTGTGTTATTTTAGGTTTAATAAACACTGT